ATTTCACTCGTTGGATGTAGCGGGCTTTGACGTGATTCGCGACTCGTTTCGGCTCAAGAGTTCGTTGCCGGCCTTGACCACCATGTTGACAGAAATGAAGGTGTTGCCCATTTTTCTCTGCACGGTGGATCGCATCCTCTGCCGCACGGAAATCCTCGTGTCTTCATTGCTGTCGTCACCGGATGCCTCAACCGCGGCGTCGATCGATCGGTTTGCGCTGGCAGGACCGTACATGTTTTTACCTTCACACGAGACGAAGGGTACGTGCGTAGATGAACCAGCGTATTGCTGGCGTTTCTGGTCAGCTTGTTGACTACACAAGAGCAATTTCGTACGCGTCTTGGAATGGCGATGATCGATGCTGGCGGGTTTTGAAATGTTGCGATTGCGTTGACGTGTTCTTGTGCGCTGCTGGTGGCGTTTTTGAAGTGTTTTCTGCCAAGGAAAAATCGTGTACTTTCTTTGGAAACGTGTGATTCAGTTGCGTTTCGTCAATCGTTGCGGCAGAGTTGACGCGGTCTTGTGGATATTGTGGCAGATGTGCCATATCTAGGCCAAGTCGACGCGTCGATAGACCTCGTTCTCGAATCCAAGCTTCCAGACACCGCTGCGGCCCCCAACATCACGGAACCTACCGAGGAATCGTGTGCAATTTCGTTGCTCTACGTGTCCCTCTTGCGTGAAGTGGATGGCCAAGATCACCGGGCGGGCGCGCCGACGCCATCGGCAGCACTCATTCGTTTTTGTGGGCACGAAGAGCAAATTACGTTCGATACAACTTATCCAGAATTCCATCACGGACGACGGGGTGTTTTTTACGCGGGCAAGTTTCGCAATCAAGCGTTGCCATCCTTGGACACCTCATGTAGCTCCGCGACGCCATCCCAGCCGACAGAGCTGAGCGTATACATCAATCAAGTGCTCGCGGCAACGGCTAACATCGCATTGCCACCACCTTTGCCAGAGACCACGTCGTCTAATGACGTTTGCATTGCCAACCTGACGAATGAACACAAGGCAACGTGGTTGGAGAAGTCGGGTACTTGCGCCACTCGGCATCGTCTTCGTTGGGACTTGGCACGGACGGTATCGTCAACCCGTCGAAGCCAGATATCAAGGGGACGTACACACTGCAAATGGACGTGGCCTCGATCAAGCGGACGCCGACCAGCAACCCCGTGGATTCCCCGGTCAAAGTAGAGCTTGTCCATCCGTTTTACTGAGGGCCTGCGAGTAAGTATCATGCAAATTTCGTGGCAACGGATCGACGTGTTGAATGAACGGATGCACGACGACTTTGAGCATGTGCTTTGTCGGGACGATGAGTGGAGGGTGTTTGCTCCGAGTATTTCAACTTTTTGGATGAATTGCTGATGTGCAGTGGCGTCGGGGGTCCTTTCACTGGCTGGAACGGCCCAGCAAGACATCGTCGGCCTCGATACCATCCGCTTCCATCACGTGGCCACGTCCCAACTTCACCTCCCCTTCACCTTCCACGTCGTCGCGCCCGACGTGGCTCGCGTTGGCCAGGCATTGTTGAGTCTGCAGTACTTGCTACACGCCACAGTCCAGTATGAGTTCGACACGTGCGGCGACTGCTTTTCCGACTGGACGGTTCAAAATGGCCATGCCCACGTGGACGACAGTCAAATTTGTTTGTATCGGCCCTTTACGACCTGCGATGTGTATGTGCCTGTGATGGGAGCGACTTCTCAAGTCGCCATTCTCCACGTCCGCGCGAAATGGATCCATCCAGACCTGTAAGTTGTTGCATGGCCGACTCGTTGACGGCATTTCTCCATTAGGCTGTCCGATGAAGGATTGCGCGAAGTCGTTGCCGCCGCTCCACAATCCTCCATGGAGCACCTTGAACATGAGGGAGTGTCGGTGGCCCCCATGATCTTACCTCGCCCAACGACGAAGAACCAAGTCGACGATGGCAATGGGACATCGGCCACTTCGACGTTGCAACAGCAAACGTGTCTGGCGCCTGGGTCCGCAGTCTCGAACCAACCTCAACAAAACCAGGTGGGTGCTGCACATGACGAGCGAGGTGCAGAAAAGCATGCATGACATGCTGTTGTATTGTCGAACTAAGTTGTTGTCGAGTAGGGTTGTTCATGCGGCATCGCGTTGCAGCGGGACGCGTTGGCTGCGGAAAAGAAAGCGTGGGAATTTGCAAAGAGGAAGCAACAAGCGGCGCTGGAACAAGCCGAAGCGAAGCGGATGGAAGCACTCGAGGCAGAGTGGGCACTTCGAGAAAAAGAGCGGATTCAAATGGTATGACCTTCTCGTCAAGGTGTTGCAATTTGCTAGCATGAAAAGATGCCACCTACACCGTTGGAACAACCATATTTTGCACGATTTTGAATGCGCATGGCTTGAGGCGACGTCGTGATATGGGTGCTGTGGTAGGTTCGAGAAGCCCAGCAAGAGTACGTGGCGTTGGAAAAGAAGCTGCGGCAGACGCTGCATGACTTGGACTTGCGTGAGCGATCGTTGGCCAAGGCGGAAGAGGCGTTTCAGCACAAGCTCGCCCTTCACAAGCAAGAAGTGGATAGTTTACAACGAAAATCCAAAAGCGAGACGCAACACGCTCTGTCGCTGGCTGAGCAGCAAAAACAGTCGAGCGAGTTGCAGTGTCGGCAAATGGAAGAGCGTGCCGTACGGATCATGCTTCGTGCGATGTTTTTTGTTGGATTGTACAGCTCAAGACCCTTGTCGGTTGTGTAGATCCGAGCCGAGTCACAGCTGAAACAACTGGAAGCCGACATTGTGGCACTGCGGGTCGAGCAGCGCAAGAGCCCTGAAAACGTCCTCCGCCAAGACATTATTCAGCATCAAGCGACGATTGCGGCGCTGGTACGGCATCTCGTTTCGCGTGGAAGTGGTCGCTGTTCGGCCCCATTGAAACAAGGATGGAGGGAATCATTTAATGCGCTCCTAGGAAAAACAACTCCGATTGCTCCAAGTCGAAAAGGACCAAGAGATTCAAGTGCAAAAGGAACTCGCGGTGCAGGTCGACCGCCTCACGCAGCTGCTGCACCAAGAAAAGCGCAAACAGGACGAACAAAAGGCGCAGGACCTGGAGGCGTTGCGACTTAAGTACATTGCCCGAGAAGAGAGGTGTGTGTACTTGCCGAAATGCCATCCTCACAAAGGATGCGACTTGCGGTAGGTTTGTGTTGGACGGCGACCGAGAAGAACTCAGGGCAATCAAGAAGCAGTTGGATATGCTCCGCCTAGTCCAATTCAGTCAAGACAAGGAGCTGGCGAGGCTGCAGCAGGAAAAGGTTGACCTCCTGGCGACAGGACAGTACACAGAAGACAGCTTTGTCATCCAAGAGCTCAATCGACTCATAGCAGCGAAGAAACCATAGAGTTTTTACTGGCGTTCTGTCCACGGCGTGCCAATTCCACCCACGATTGCCCTCGGCCTTCCTAGTTCGTTTGCTGAACGTGAGAAGAGACTACACATGCCACGAGCGACTCCATCCGACTCGCGACTCCATGTCGGTGGCAAAGGCGTTGAGATTGTCGAGCGCCATGCATAATCCAGGAATGGCTGCATGAGCATGGCACCACACGCCACGGAGAGTGAAGCAGGCTGCTCTTTGACTCAGTCACTATGACACGGAGGAAGAGCTACCATCAAGTGGCCTGTTGACCAAACACCCCGTGGAGTGCGCCATGGTAATATTGGGATGGTCATTAGGAGCGAGGGCGTCCGTGCGACACCTGCACCACGACTGGAGCAGCCATTTTCGACGAACTTGGAGACGCCATCAAGATGGATCGATTGCTTTGTTTTACTACCAATGCTATATACATCTCTCTACATGTTTCGGGCTGAATGACGTTGCAAG